GGAGGTCAGAAATGAGAGAAAAATGTGTGAGCCCTTTACAAATGGCACTGGAGAAGCAAGAGCTGGAAATTCACACAGCTTGAGGAAACACCAAGTCCACGCAAGGACCCGAACCCTCATTAAGCTACTGAGCTTAATTGGTTGGCTACACGGATGCTGTTCTCCACACAGAGCAGTCGTGGTGACCTTTCTTTCCTTCAGCTTTGGTGAGTGTGTGAATACCTGATGTTTTAAAATCACAGATCTCTTAACAAAAAGAAATAAGATGTGTACATTAGCAACACATCCACAAAATGTGTATCAGATATGGCTGAAACACCGCTTTGCAATTTTAGGAACTTTCTGCCATAAATTCCCAGCATGATCCAGTGAGTCATCTAACCCTTAAGCCTGAGGTTTTTCCTGTCAAAAGATGGCACCAGCAGGTATCTACCTTGGCAAAGGTGAAATAAATGCTTGTGGTATATTCCGAGTATGAGATGAGAGGGGTATCACCGCCAGCACTGCAGATAAACAGACCTCAGTCAACTCATTGCCCCAAGAGGGCTTGCATTTGAACTCCAAAATCACCAGCTACAATAGCACAAGAGGGTTCTGCTGTCGATAAAAAAACTAGGAAGGAAACTACACCAAACTATTGATGAAACTAAAGATATCTCCTTGTAAATAATGCTGCAGATAGAGAAAATTTCCAGTAATTTTCCTTTGGGTAATGCCTCAATTATTTTTCTCTGAGGATATTTCCATTTAACCTAAACCTCTGAGCCTCAGGTGAGACCAGCTTCTAGATCAGTAGAGCCAACCACCTCACTCTAAAGCAAATGACACTCAAGGCCTAGTTCAAAGCTAAACAGTATAGGAGTAACTGATCAGGTATTGTCTGTACCCAAATAACAAGCACAAAATGTATTAATTCAGGGGCAGTGCAGTCAAGTACCCAGCCCTCATCCAAACCAGATCTGTCCTGCCAGGCAATAGAGGGCACAGATTTGAAATGAAGAGTCAAGGAAACAGAATTCGGTCTTGCTGGTTCTGCTCACTGAGGAGACAAGTAGGTTCTGGAGTGACAGTTCTTTGATACAAACCCCTTATATTTAAAGAGTTTTGGCTGCATTTTGGTTTTTAATAAATGAGACTGCAGTAAGTTCTGTTGCTCAGAGTTCATAGCCATCAATCAGTAGAAGGCAATGACTTTGATCCCCTCTTGCTGCCAGTCTAAGCCCCAAGAGCTCTCTCCCGTGGCCAGACACTCTGCCCTTGTTTGAACTACGTATGTTGTTTTCTTCATCCTTACTTGCATCTGTTTGGGGTGGAGGGAATGGGGAGGTGTAAAATGGGAAGGCTCAGTGAAGCCTCTCTATTTTTGGGTAGAGACTGCTGTTTCAGCTCTCTGGAGTGTCAGCAGAACTCACTTGTTTCATTTATCACAAATAAAGGGCAGCTACTGCACCCACTAGTGGGTGAATTTTACCTAGATTCAGCTTCGAGCATTTGTTTTGCTCCAGGTCCTAGAAATCATCCCCCCGATATGCACACTTCTTGTTATAGCTCATTCTTTTTTTTTTCCTGGTAATTTCTCCCCCAGTGCTGCTTCTCACACTGCTCTCTCTTTACCTCAGTCTTCTCTTGTTCTTGGTTTCTGATGCTGATTTGTGCTACTGTGTGAAAGTGAAAACTTATTACTACTTTGTCTCATGAAACATAATGAAGAAAAAACACAGATCGGCACTGAATGATAATAGTCACTTTAGAGAGACTTAGTGGCCTCGGGCTACTAACAGCCCTCCCCCAGTTATCCCTGATTTTACCTTATTTCTAATGTAGTGTTACTACGTCAAGCCAAAAATCTGTACGTATCTGATACTGCCGTGCCAGAAAGAAAAAACAAAGTACGATTTATTGAAATACTGTTGATATATGGAAACGTCAGCAAATCAGAGCTACTGGAATAAAGAGGGATGAAACTGCAATTTCTTAGAACAGTCATCTTTTGGAGCTGTTTGCTCCTTTTTCATCCTCAGGGAAGGAAAAGTCCAGACATGCACCACGATACAGGGAATATGTACTACGTTTGCAGGAACCTCGCATATTACTTGCTGAAAAACATGTTGATTTATTTTTGGTGTTTCACATATGCAAATTCCAGTTTTCTTATCTCACTTTGCCATCTCATAAAACACAAACTTTTCTCCATAAATTCCCTCTGACAAGTTATTTAAAGTTTTTAAATTGCAGTTTGCGCTTAGCGATTTTTTTTTTATGATGCAGACTGTATATAAATTCACACTTGCAATATTTACTCTACTTCCAAACAGTAATATTCCTTGGCAGTTCTAATCATACCAATTAAAGATAATTTAGTGATGACTTAAGATGATCTATTTATAGATGATAAATATTAAACATCAAGAACCTCTTAAAAAACACTCTGCTATTGGGTTCAAATATTTAGTATCAGTTATTCAACATAAAGTAAATTGAGAGAAAAAATCCCCCTACTTCCTGCATTTAACTATTTGCAGTAGAAAAACTTATCTAACAATGCTTACTTTATGTACTTTTAATAGGGTTGTTGAATTTGAATAGAAAATATATCTTTCCCTTATTAAGGGACAGATTATCTTGTCACCATTTTGCATCTTCAAGCGGGACAATCTGCTGATCTTTAAAAAAAATAAGCATTTCTGAGTAAGTGCTGTACTAGGATGTCACCAATAACAGCAGCAGAGCACTGGCTTATGATATAGCAGTCGAGTTCTCGAATGAATGCACTGAGGCAGAACACCAAGTATTTCTTCCAAAGGAGGAACTGGAATCCTGCTGGGACAAAACCAGTACATTGTTTCCAATACTCGTATTTAAAGCTGCTTTGTGAATGGATGTTTAAAACAAGGTGGAAACAAAGCTGGATGAGAAATAAAGTCATCTCAAACCCACAGCTACAGACACCCGGTTGAAAATCTAAAGAGTTCTAGAGCTGCGACTTTTGAGATGATTCATGTGTGTTAAAATTGGTAGAAAAGGACAGCAGAGTATACTTAGTCATTAAGTATTGTAATGCACATCCTGATACGCGATTCCTGATAGAAAATAAGCCATACAACAAAAAAAGGACATTAAAAAAATACCCTTCATGGTCAAGCCAGTGGTCAATCTAGTCCATACAGCAGTGACCAAAAGAGAGGTGCCAGGGTCCTGCCTGCAACCACTATGGACTATGAAAGTGGTGAGACTCAGCCTGTCTCTAAAAAAGCTATCATCTCCTGACACTGTTAGAGCTTCCACGGGTACCGGCAACCTCCCACTGCAGGAGATGCTGAACTTGAACTCTGGAAATTCAGATTATGCTGATAATATGCTGATAATCAGAAATGCTGATCAGAGAGACACCTCAGGGGTAACAGCACTATCAGTGCAACCCAAGAACACATTTATGTTCTCAGCTGTACTACAGAGCATCACGAAAGTCCACACAAGCCAGGGGAAGAACCACAGCAGATACACAGTGCAGGATTTGAAATCCAGAGGCTTCAGTTCCATCGGGATTTGTTTTCCTCGCTTTTGAAGGAGGTGCCACTGAACCTCTTTCTGCACTGGTTTTACTACCTGTAACAGTTCTTTATCGTGAGTTCTAGGGAACTTTACTTCATTATTATTTGTGAAGTACTTTAAGTCCCTCAGCAGAGCTGCTGCACTCGGCTCTGACACAAACAGACTCACAAGCGCTGAAGCGGTGCTATGTCCGTTCTCACAAGTGCCCACCCCGTGTGCTGTAATCTGGATTTTCACATGCAGCCCAGGCTCCTTCCCAGCAGCAGGAATAACTCCGCTGAAGTCCTTGCATCTGTGCCTGCTGATGCCAGCACTAAATTTAGCCTGTGCGTTCATCGTTAAGTCGTTCCAGTGGAGTTACAATTAGAAAAAACCCTTTAAGTAATTGCTCCCAACAGGTACGACTGTGCTGAAGGAAGCGGCGACACCAGTAAACGCGGCACCACTGTTATCCAGCTGCAGCCACAACAACGGCACCCGGTGAGCTCAGGGCAAGATTAAACAGCAATTCACCCACAGCACAACCGACCATCCTTCCCTCATCCACACCAACAAACGTAAAAAGTGAGGAAAAAAACCCCACACACCAGGCTTTTTCTGAAGTCGACTCCCCTACCCCATCTCCTCAACAAGCGCACGCCACACTCTAACCAAATCGCCGTACTTAAAAATCACGTTTCTAGCGTTATAAAGAATTCCTGCTCCGAGGGCTGCGGAGCGGAGCCCAGGCCCGTTTCCCAGCTGCAGCCAGGAGCGGCTCCGCAGGGGATGCAGCTCGCACCGCTCGGCGCTGCGGGAGTTTTGCGCCGCCAGTCGCCGAATATCGCATTTCTCCCCAAACATCCTTTTTCTCACAATGCGGCCCACCCTTCCTTTCCTTTCCTTTCCCTTCCCCTCCCCTCCGCGCCGCCCGACACCTCGCCCCTCAACCCACCCACCCCCCGCCGCCATCTTAACTCCTG